AGGGACAATTTAGAGTTATCAATTAACCTAACAGTCAAGTTTTTGGTCTGTGGGAGGAAGCCGGAGTACCCGGAGAGAACATGTAGCTCTATACAGAAAGGTCGCTGGGTTTTGAACTGGCAACCTTCTTGCTGAGAGGCATCAGCTCTACCAACTGAGCCACCCAGCTAGACTAGTACATCCTAATTTTTTTTAATATTAACATTTTAATATGACATTACAGTAATTTCGACCTTTAGGAAAATGTTTTATAAAGATCATTTTGGAAAACCTAAGAGCTCATTTTTACTCAATACTTTTACTTTTAATACTTAAGTACATTTTATGTCAGAAATTTACTTTTCATACTTAAGTACAAAAAAATCACATACTTTAAGACTTTTAATCAAGTAATATTCTTAGAGGAGACTTTAACTTGTACTTTTACTTAAGTATCACTTTGAGATACTTTATACAGTGGTCACGTGGACAGTTTGCACAGTAGAAAGTGATGTAACAAAATGTTTTATACTACTCCAGTATTTGCAGTGTCAAATCTCTGAATGTTAAAGCAGCGATGAGAATAAGTTTTCATGTATTTATGCAGGTTTGGAGAACTCCATCGCTGCTTTTCGTGCTTCACATCAGAACAGCAGCCTCCGCTGGAGTCATGGCTCCAACAGGCTCTTTATCCTCATTCCTCTCAATGCAAACATCTCGCATAAGTTGGAGAACGAGGACAGCAACATCTGTTTTTATGACAACCTTCCAAACAATGAGATAGACAGGGCTGGAGTCCGAGGCCGGGTCTACAAGCACAGCGTCTACCGAGTGAAGGACGAGCAAGGGAGGGTGAGTGAAATGAATTTAAAATGATCAACAATACAAATCAGATCAGGTTTAAATACTAAACCTCCACCCAGATTCAGAGTCAAAATATTTCTTCACTTTTAAATGAAGAACCTGCAGTTTTACATGCTGGGAGCAACTCCTGCAGAAATGTGAAACCAGCTGCAAACACAGCAAAAACACAAGAAAGAATGAGAGTTAAAGAGAACGACAGACTCAAGGGATTGTTTCTGACTTTTAATATTTAAAGATAGCAAAAAGCACACTTATTGTGTTTGATGAAGCAGATCTAACACTGATTGGACCTAAAACCAGCTCTATTGCTGAATCAAGGCAGAGGAATGACAACGCCCTGAGTTTCATGTGAGACCAGTAATAACTACCTGTGATTTCAAAGACTTTTCATCAAGCTTTGGCCTCATTTCACTGCTGCACACATCACATGGTATGAAAATGATGTTGTTATTTTTAACGTTTGGTTCAGTGTTGAACATAGGAGCAGATTTAGGACATTTATACCTACCTCTGTTTTAAGGCAGTGCCCTTGTGCGTCTGCATGTGAAAAGCTGAGAGTTTCCATAGAAATCAAAGGGATGAAAAGCAGTCAGGTTCAGAGATAAAAAGAAAGTAACGAAAACTTAAAGGAATGTTTCAGACATTTTGAAGTGTGGTTCAGTGAGAAGGTCATGAACAACTAGACAATTTTTTTTGTAAAAAAAAAATACACGTATGCATTGAAAATGTGTTGTTGCCTGAAGCCTGTTTTCAAATGAAAATTCTTCAAATAGCAGATTAACAAATGTAATTACACATACAACAATAAACAGTACAAACATAATACTGAATGAAACTAGCCAAAAAATGACTTTTTTTTTGGATGGCCTCCCTTCTCCCATTATAGCCATCCCCTCCACACCATTATGTTTTTTTTTTTTTGTGTGTGTGAAGAGAAAATAGAGAGAGAGAAAAACAGAGAGAGAAGTAATTAGAAAGATAGAAAGACTGAAATAGCGATTAGAATTAAATTAAATATACACCAACAAAACACAGGACCACCCAACATCTGTCCGCTCACCTGAAAAATAAATGGATAAATACATAGAAGGCATATACAGGTATATACAAGATTTCTCCAATGGAATATTTACTAGTGACTGTGGAGGACCGAGACCCAACCCCCAAGACACGAGGCAGACATGGGGAAGACCAGAGCCCAAGGTCCTGAGAGGAATCCCGAGCGCAGAGCCCCAAGGGGAACCCGCACTGGAAGATCCGCCCACCCACCCCCCCAGATCAGACCATATAGGGGAGAACTGAGAGAGTCCCCCCAGCGACCGGGAGAACTGAGAGAGTCCCCCCAGTGACCAACTCATGGGCCCCACCGGCACCCACCATACCAAAGCAGATCCAGGAAAGGGCACAGAGGTCCGGGCCCCCAGGGCGCACCCCCTCCAGGCCAAAGCCC